TTAATAGACACATATTCTAGGTAATGTTAGCTGCGAATGATTTCGACCACACATATATACAAATTTTATGTTTAGTTTATGTAATGGACCAAACACATAGATCTGTATATGAACCAGACGTTTTCATTTCAGCACGAAGGTCTAATTGCTCACTTTTTACGTATAATCCCTGCACATTTTGCTATCTTTTTATGTTCAGAATATAAATGGTTAGATTTCCCGTTGTACACCAACTTCGCCACCATACTTTGCGATGTAAATCAATTATTTTCGAACAAAGGAGAAAATTTTAAAAAAAATTTGGTAGGAAAAAAAAAATGACCCAAACCTAATCATTCATTGGTATGGACATTAACGAGTCTCATGTTTGGCATACGTCTTTTGGAGTCATGAAACATAAATATTGTTTATGGAACAGACACATACTAATAACTGGGACTAAAAACGTAATATATTATTGATTTGTATAATTTTAAAATATTAGTTTTCTTTACCAAGTTTGTTCATTTTATTTAAGTAAAATACGCAATTTCGCAACCTAGCTTGTCACAAACCCAGATTTCTGTTTTGTTCTGTAACCTCTAAATACAGAAATGTTTTTTTTTTTCAGCTGATTAAAATAGCAAGAAAATACTAATGCGTAAACTCTGATAGTCAGCGATGTGCAAAGCCTGACTGCAGTACCCTCTGCCATGTCTGCTTGACCCTTATAAATGCATACTCTCTGTCTTCGAACAAAGTGTCCATGAGGAACATTAACAACATTTTGTAGAGACTTTATGAATTGAAAAGGCTAGCCATCGACCCCATAAATATTTATGCTAGCAGCTGTTAATGGGCCTCTTAGTTTTCATTCCTGGACTATATTTGTTCTGAATTACTCGTTGAATGAACTGAATAATGTTGTCAATGAACAATTGCATGTTATAAAATTGCTGCCTGAATAAGGACGAACTTGTAATCTTCGGTCAGGAAGGACTCGGGAAATAAAATACATGCACACTGAGACTAGGAAATTTACGTTACAGTAAATAAGAAAAACAAATGAGTTCAAAGTATCTTGAACTTAAAAACATAACATCAAAATATAATAACCAAAAAGAACGAACATTGACCTAGAAGAGAGTAAAGAAGATAAACTATCAGACGAAGAATATCAAAACAATAGTCATATTTGATAAATCTTACACGCACGGTGTAAAATGTGACAGATAAAAAAATGATTGATTTATAAAAGTGTTTTAAAAATTAATAACATCTCAACCACCTTTACACACACACACACACACACACACACACAATTTTAAATTATTTAATTTTACTCTTCTTGGAAATAGAATCTCGAATGCCATTGTAAAATGCACATTATTTTAGCTTTTAAATGTCAACCGAGACATATTTTACAGTCTTGATCTCCTTGTTGCTATGGTTTCATTACAAATGATATAATATCTGATATACGATGGAATTCAGTTGCAGCGTCAATTCTTACTTTATTAGATGCAATATAGCCCATTAAAATTTTCTGTAAATTGAATGTTTGAAACATAAAGATTCAAGTAAGTCTGATGTGCCTTTCAGCACAGCTCAATTGATTGGATATTGGTATAGCGTGTCAATTGCAGATGTTCTCCTTTGAAGTACTTCTGTAGAATTGTATTAGGTTCGACTGAGTGGTCTATCAGTGTTAATTTTAATCTCTTTCTCGTGTTTTCATATACCGAAATTGTTTTAAGGAACAGCTTGAAATAATAGTCTTTGATTATATTTTAATTGCTGTCATTACGGAGAAAAAACTGTAATAATAATAATAATAATAATAATAATAATAATAATAATAATAATAATAATAATAATAATAATAATAATAATAACGAGGACTTTATATAGCGCCTAATCTTTAGAAGCTCTGAGCGCTTTACAACATTTGACAACGCTTAAAAAGAATTTAAAAAAAACCCATAATGAAATGATTACAGAAACCAAAAAACAATCACCACAAAATTAGAAACAGAAAAATATGCTGTAAATTTTTAAGGTAAGGATACGTTAAACGGATACATTATTAGGTCATTATAACTGTTCTTGTAGTTGAAATAGATGGGTTTTAAGGGCGTTCTTGAATGAGATCATTGTGTATTTGTGTCTAAATGCAGTGGGCAATTCGTTCCACGTTGCTGGGTCCTGGTATGTAAAAGAACGTCGTCCATATGATTTCAACTTCATAGTAGGAATATTGAGAATACAAGTGTCAGAAGAGGAGCGTAGGCATTTTGCAGGTGTATACACATGGGTGAGGTCAGATAGGTATGTTGGACTGGAGCCCATCAGTGAAACGTAGCACAGAGAACAAATTTTGTGTTGAATTCTGGATCGGATGGATAGCCAGTATAGGGTAAAAATCAGCGGAGAGGCATGCTCTGATCGTGGTAGTCTAAGGGTTATCCGAGCAGCAGTGTTTTGAACTTTTTGAGGTTTCTGAAGTAGATATTGAGATGAACCAGACAGATTTGAGTTTCAATAGTCCCATCTTGAAAGTACTAAGGAACACACAAGTGTTTTTGTGGCATCAACTGACAGATACTTGCGAATGGAGCTGATGTGTCTCAGCTCAAGATATGCAGCCTTGTATATGTTTATGACATGTAGATGCAATAAGATAGTACTGTCAAGAGTGACACCGAGGTTTCTTACTGACTGCTTGAATTTAATGTTGGTGTTGCTGATGTTTATTGTCTGAGGTAAAGGATGTGAATGAGAAAGTCTTTGTGTTGTAACCAGGATGGCTTCAGTTTTATCATCATTCATCTGCAGCTTGTTACATGTCATCCATGATTTCACATCAGAAATGCACCTCTCTATGTTTTGGATGGTAGCTTCAACTTCAGCTGATGGTTAGATTTGTATATTTGGGTGTCATCAGCATACAATTGGTGCGACACTGGATGATGATCTATGACACTTGAGAGTGGCTGAGTGTACAGAATGAAGAACAGAGATCTGTGGAACATAAAAGAATAGATCAACTGGGCTGGAATGTTTTCAATTTGCGGACACAATTTGTGTCCTGTTGACCAAATAGGACTTGAGCCATATAGTAAGGTCGTATCATGAATGCCAAATGCATGCTGGAGACGGTGAAGTTTTATATCATGGTCTATAGTGTCAAATGCTGCAGACAAGTCAAGGAGAGTGAGGACTAGTCTTTCCGGTATCCAAAGCAGAAGGAAGGCCAATGACTACTTTTAGAAGAGCGATTTCAGTACTGTGGCGAGGGTGATATGCAGACTGTACATTGCTAAAATTAATGTTTGAATTCAGATGAGATACAAGTTGGCATAGAACAACTTTTTTTTAAAGAATTTTGACATGAATGGGAGATTATAAAGTGTGCGGTGGTTCTTTAGATCATTATGGACAAGTATTGGTTTCTTCAGCAGATGTTTTACAATGGCAGTTTTGTAAAATGATGGGAATTTCCCAGATGAGAGAGACATGTTTATAACATCAGTTAGTAAAGGCAATATTGGATCCAAACACTCTAGCAGCAGTTACATCGGAATCGGATCCAGTTCACATGACTTTTTTGCACTCTTCATCACGATTGTACGTACTAAATCCATAGAGACAGGTTCAAATGTTGCTAATGTTATGTTATTGTATATTTTTTTTTTCTAACTGCCATTTGTAGCATGTTAATGAGAAATGTTTAATCTAAGCTAAACGTTATTAATAGACCATGATCAGTTTCCTTTATCATATTAATACTTTCTTTTTGACTGCATCACTAAATCACTAACAACGAAATCTCATTGCAGAATTATAAATTAATTAGTTAGCTAGCGAACATAACAAGTGACAAAAGTCATTGGTACGAGTTTGTCTAAATTTATAGTGTTGGGTCCGATTTTCGACCTTAGGAACCGGGTAAATTGAAGACGATGATTCTCCATTTTGACTGAGTCCGCGACAGAGTCCACGATTAAGTGTGATTTCCTTGTTTTTATGTCAAAATTTGTTCGATAGATGCAGACTTTAGAGTCCCTTGCATTTGTTACGCTCATCGCAATCTTAAACTTTCCAACATCAGCCAGCTCCCATCAAAGTACTGTATAGCCCCCAAAAAACCACCAAGGAGTTTTATTAGTTCACCCCAAGGTAACCCCAATCATGGAATAATAATGCGCCTCTTTCATAATGCGCTTTGCGAATGAGTTGCCGTTCCTGATAACGATCGCTAAAATTCAAAGAGAGGCTATCACTGCTGGGTGAAATGTCCTTTGTATTGACCTGCAAGTGGAGATTGCCGTTGGAAAGTTTGAATATCATCACATCATTACATATACTTAGAAAGCTGATAAAAATATAAGCAACCAGAATCTGTATAATAATAATAATAATAATAATAATAATAATAATAATAATAATAATAATAATAATAATAATAATAATAATAATAATAATAATAACAATTATGCAGAAGCGCCAACAGAATTATGTTAAGGGTGGTGGTGGTGGTGGGAACATCATATAGTGGTCAGCTATTAAGTTTTACGGATGTAGGCCAAAATATGTTCCTATGTAACATCTATGGAGTAGGGGAAAGCCCCTGTACAACCTCCATCCGTTTGTCCCTATGTGTGGGCGGGGCGCCCATGGTATTCCACAGTACCATTATAACAAACAACATGCACATCGAAGCAAATGAAAAATATCTCATAGAAATCGGTTTTACACTAAAAATTTGTTTTAGAATGTATTTTATCTTCAATTTTATTTAAGAGATCCAATTTTACCAATCCAATTTAAGCGATTTCTTTATAAGTTGTAATAATGTGTCGATTCCTGTTTAGAGGTACAGACAGTTTATCTATAACAGCATATTTTGAGGTATGCAGTTTAAATGAGCAAACTAAAGTCAGTGGAAAAACAATCACTATCCTTGTAGATTCAGAAGGCAGCAGCCTTCACACCCACCACCCTTCTGTTAAACTTGGACCGCCCCGGTGACCAAGTGGTTAATGAGTCCGCCTCGGATGCGGGAGGTCGTAGGTTTAAACCCCGGCCGAATCATTCCAAAGACTTCCAAAAATTGTACTAACAGCTGTCTCGCTTGCCGCTCAGTGTTAAGAGGTTAGTGTTAGGACTGGTCGGCCTGGTGTTAGGATAATGTGACTAGGTTTGACATTATGCTTCATGTCTGCGGCATAATTCCCCAGTGCTAGACATCACTATAATCTGCCACAGTGCAGACATCGTAGCGATATGACTGTAAAATTTTTAAGCTACGTTAAAAATCCCTAAAATACATAACACACACTATGTTGAACTTTAAAATAAAATTCCCCTTACTCCCATTAGACCAATTCCAATTTTAGTCTGTAGTGAAATGATGTTAGTTTAAAACCCTGAAAACGTCTACATAGACCAATAGTAAGAATCCTGGATTTAAGGTTGAGATTTGTCTAAACAATTTTTTTTAAAAAGCACTATTCTATTGATTTTGTATATTTTAATTTAAAACAACATCATTCTTTTTCTTTAAATTGCGAAGCGAACTTTTTCCTGCAAATTAGGGCGTAGGTACGCAACACCATCATGGCCGCTTGTCAGATTTAAATTTTCTTTTAATTATTTGACGGCTAAACACTCTAAATCCTCCAAGCTACAACCGATATACTTCTCACGTTTTGGCATTTTGATTGTTTGTATTCTCCCAGCAGTGAGAGCCTCATTTCGGAATTTCGAGATTTTGAAAGATAACTTGAGAACGTTATCTATTGTGAAACTGGTCTATTACTAGTAACCAAGGTCATTCTCGTGTGCAACCATAAGTTAGTATACAAGAAAAATCTGACGAGGAATCTGCCGTCATACTGTAAATACAAAACACTTTACAAATTTCTGTAGGTAGCAACGGCGGAAATATTTGCCTGTCCATTCATTCCATTCTTATTTCTTCCTTTTGGTGATTAATAACACAGAGAACTAGTACATACATGAGAATGGCAAGGCATACGATTACATATATAAATCACAAACTTATACATATACTCATACAATTACACATAGAAATTACATACTTATGCGTATATAAATAGGAATATATTTTGTATGTAGAATCCTGATAGCATTTTCTCATTCTTATATTTTTTTAACTCCAAATAATATACGAGTTACAAAATACAATTTGGGAACTAGGAGAGATATTAGATGAAAATATACGAACAATTATATAGTGACGTAATCAAAGCTGTGTACTCAAGTTATCCGTGAAAAAACCAAGCCGGACAATGAGTAAATTCTTTAATTTTCATGGTTTCGATCGTTAACAATAAAAAGCAATAAGCTTCCAAACATTCCCATTAGTTACAAAATTCACGTAGAATTCATGCAGAAAATATAGCAGATGACATGCTAAAATTTTGTAGACTTTGGAATAAACCGTTCCGATAGCCTAGTGGTTAGAGGGTCCGCCTCGCATGCGGAAGGTCGTGGGTTCAAACTCCGGCCAAGTCATACCAAAGACTTTTAAAATGGTATTAAAAGATGTTTCGCTAGGCGCTCAGAATTAATAGGTTAGTGTTACGATTGGTCTTCCTGGTGTCAAGATAATGTGACTGGGTGTAACATAATGCTATATGTCTGCGGTCCTCGGCGTTAGAAATCACTGTAAACTGTCACACTACAGATATCATAGCGATAGGACAGAAAAATTGTGAAAGTGACCTTAATAATCCAAGTCTAACACTCCCACTCCCACACAAACAAAGACTTCTGAATCATTCAGTCCACATGCTTATGGGTTTTCCTTTTTAATAATTTCTGAACAAATTCTTCTTCAGATATACATCAAGCACAATATCAAAATTATTGATAATATATACCTCATTCAACATCAGCATACGAAGTTATACAATGCTGGCAAGTGTCATACCGTATAGAGTTAACAGAATCCTGGTCCAAAAGTTTGACCACTTTAAGTTCTTTGTTTGACCTAGGTATTTGCTACAAAATGGCGGGTTTAATAAAATGATATATATATATATATATATATATATATATATATATATATATATATATATATATATATATATATATATATATATATATATATATATATATATATATATATATATATATATTTGAGTGTTTAAAAGGATGGATAGTTGAAGCAGATATGCTTAAAGCGATTATTCTCACGTTCATTTACGATGTTACATACAATATGTGTCCATTCCTTTTTAGACAGAAATTCTGTAAAAATTATAACGTCTTTCAAGTCGTATTTGTGAATATATATATATATATATATATATATATATATATATATATATATATATATATAGTATAATAATAATGCAACTCTTGTTTTCTTGTTTTCACTGATTTTACAATTCCAGTTTACCGAGTAAAGTGAGCGATACTATTGCTCGTAAATGAGCAGGTGTTTAGTCGTTGTAAGGGTGATATTAGCGGTAATTCTTAATTCGGAATCTTCTAATAGCTTTAACATGAAAGATCAATGATATATACCCTATATAGAAGCGTGGAAAGCACCGCATCTTTGCACGCGCCCTATCTGATTGGCATAGGTTTAGATTAAGTTCTATTTATAGTTTCAATTCTCTCTCTCTCTCTCTCTCTCTCTCTCTCTCTCTGTGTATATATATATATATATATATATATATATATATATATATATATATATATATATATATATATATATATATATATATATACACAGTGTCAAACGCCTTCCTTATTTCCAAGTATGCGGCATATATTTTTTATTGTAATTCTAGGTTAGGGAAGATATCTTCATTTAAGTTAAACATGTCAATCCCTTTTGGAAGCCCTGCTGTTGAGTATTTGGAACAAATTAGCATTTTTAGCATTTTTTTTAGATGACGTGCTTCTTATATATCCCTTCACCAATGAGGCTTTGCGTATGGATTATTAATCGTTTAATGATATTGGTTTTTTGCGGCCTCATGTGTATGAAATATTAGAATATTATATAATTTTTATATATGTTTTGGAGTTAACGGGATGTAATATAATAATTTATTTACCTTGTTTTTTTCCAACCTCGAGTTGGTAAGAGATAGACTTCCAGTGTCAACTTGTTGCCATGAAGGCCAGGATATATTTGGAGTCGGAATGTCTTGACCTTGGACGGAGAGGTTATTGTACATTACATGATGATTTGACCCCAAACATGTATGGTCATTTACTAAGACCTCGCAGTCATTTACATATCGAAACAATCTTTGGTCAACAAAAATATAGTCAAGAGATTCTCAAGGACACACGGTATTAACTGTATTGAAAAATGGTTACCAGCCTAGAAATGCATGAATATTAAATAAAATATTTACGGGTTTGGCTGACCATGACTGGTTAATAATATAAGTTATATTTTATGAAAAAGACTCTTTTGAGACCTTATCCTAGTTGAAAGTGAATAAAAATTATCCAATTTTATATTTTATTTTGCATAGGGCTATTCTAGGCTGCGTGATAAATGGCATTTTTTTTATTGCGCTGTTCATGCTAGCCATAACTTGGCTCCGTCACGTGAGCCACCATGTGATCTAAAATCGTGGACTAAAACAGACAGTTTCTGGCAGATTTATTAGTTGTATTTCCTACCATTTGGAGCTGAAAGGTATTTAATGTTGTAGCCATTTGAGCTGAAATTGTAATTTAAAATAATTTATTTTTTCTGGATAATAAGTGCTTCTTCATCAAAGTTTTGGACAAAGGCACTGAGTGGAAATTATTTGAAATTCTAAGACTGGACTATTATTCTTGATTCAAAAATTCAACGAGGAACTGTTGATACATCAGTACAATATTGCATTAATCTGACGTTTTTGTCATCGATATTATAACTTTACCAGGATTCAAACTTGGATTTTTTTTAAACATTTTAGTGATAGGACTTATATTTTTAGATTCCATAATTAATGTTTGGATTATATTCGCAAACTGTAAGTCCTTTTCACATTTTTAACCTTTTTTCCATGGAAATAACTTATTTTGTTAAAAGTTACAAAGATTGTAGGCTTCGCTCTTTTCTTTTTTTACATACATACATACATACATACATACATACATACATACATACATACATACATACATACATACATACATACATACATACATACATACATACATACATACATACATACATACATACATACATACATACATACATACATACATACATACATACATACATACATACATACATACATACATACATACATACATACATACATACATACATATATATATATATATATATATATATATATATATATATATATTTATATATATATATATATATATATATATATATATATATATATATATAATATGCATTAAAAATGGAATGGCTTTAAAAGTGTTGGTTTAAAGCAGTTTGATATACATATGCTATTGCTGCAATAATTCGTATGACTCAATGATACGCATATATAAACATTCTTGCAACTATGTGCAGTTGATTCTAGATCAAAACGGAATTTGTTTTCATTAATCATTAGTGTTGTATGGAAATAACGATAAAAGTATTAATGATCCCTGTTTTCTAAATACATTTAATATGGTACACAATGCCATCGCAATTCTTTCGACTTTTCGTTCCCCCTCCCGTTTCTTGCCTAAGAAACAAAATAAGCAAAGATATGGAGCGAGATAGGAAAAGAATTTCGACTGAATGTAAACACATAATAACCTATAAGAATATGGTTTATCGTAATGGTGTGTGCATAGTTTCCATTTGATTTATCTTTTATGTTTATATTATCAATTATGAAATGTTAGAATAACCCATCGAGAATATACAGTAAATTTCTTGGTTACATGGCACGCAAACTGTAATGTATATAATATTCTAAAAATCGAATATTACTAATTAAGCATGAAAATGTTCAAAGACTTCCCCCGGAAGTCATTATTCTGCTTTAATTAACATTATCCCCCTCTCTCTCTCTCTCTCTCTCTCTCTCTCTCTCTCTCTCTCTCTCTCTCTCTCTCTCTCTCTCTCTCTCTCTCTCTCTCTC